AGCCAGCACACAACTTACGGAGTAATTAATCCTTTATTAAGCTGCTTTGCTAAAACTGCACTGCCTTGACCTAACTGCATGATCTGTGTCTTGATGAGAAGTTTTGCACAAAGAGCATGATTTTTAGTCTAATTTCCTGTGGAAACAAGGTCAAGCAATTAGGTTTTCTGGGTGCTTTTTTATGTGTTTGTCCCCCTCCTTAACGGCTCTATACAGAGGAGATTATTGCTTCTGCAGAGAAGGGAGAGCTTTAATCAGGGGAAAGTTGGGCAGACTTCACTTAAGGCCTCCTAAGTGTGAAAGATGACTGTGTTCACGTTCAAGAGCACCTTAGTCTAGCCTAGGTAGCAATTGAATGAGTTTATGATCCCATAGAAGGCTTTTTTATTATTTCCCCCTCAGGGTAGTGTCATTTCTGCCTCTTTTCTGCTTGTTCTTACTTTGATATCATGCTTTAAAGACCTAGTTTTGTTTCTTGCATGTAACAGTCTTTTGATGGCATGTCTTATTTGCTCTTTTCTCAAATATTGTTTTTCTTGGGTTTTAGCCATCTAGTGAGAAATCAAAATGTCCAGAACTGCCACCATTTCCATCCTGCTTATCTACGATGCACTTCTTCATCTTTGTAGCAGTGCAAACAGTGCTATTCATCAGTTATATCATGTACAGGTAAGTCCCTTTTTGTTTAAAGACAACAGGGCGAATGGTTTTGGGACTTCTGACTGGAAATAAAGTTGCAGTGATATGATTATGTTAATCACCTTTAAAACAAGCCATCATTCAGATGGGAAGAGACCTTGGGAGGTCTCTAGTTCAGTCGTCTGCTCAACGGAGGCTTAACACTGAATTCGCTTAGTCACTTAGTGTTTAGACTGCTCAGATCTTAACCTCCAAGCATGGAAAAGGTGCCACTATTACAGACCCCCCTGGGAATGTTTAATTCTCATAATGCAGTTTTAGCCTTCCCCCGCAGTGCACCAAGTGGGAACCTGCCTGGTTTCGGTTTGCATGTTGTCTCGTATGGTGTGTGTCTTTGTGAAGAAACTGCCTCTGTCCCCTTAATAACATCTTATAGGTATTGGAAAGCTGATGTTAGACCTTTTGAAGCCGCCTTTTGTCCAGGATGAACAAGCCTAGTTCCATCCCTCCCTTCTCTTCAGGCGTGTGCCTCAGCTCTTAACCTCCACCCTTGTGGTCCTCTGGACTCACTGAAGTTTATCAATATTTTACGAAAACATGACGTGATTTTTTTTTTCCTTATTTCATGTGCTTGGTAGTCTTCCTTCTTGCTTCTCACAGACACTAATCAGGATAAGGAGCAGGGACCGGAACAGCTGCATTGCTCTTCAAAGGGAAAATGCTGTTTGCTACCTCTCTGGAAGGATATAAGACCACTGCTGCTGATTGCAGTAGTTTTTGTATGTCTCTTTCTCCACAAAGTGGAGAGAACGTGTTTCCTACATATGTCATGTTATTCCATCAACTGAAATGATGGCTTGCAAGGCAAACAAGGACCCGGTCCCCACCAGTTTTTTGATGCCCTTGTAATTCTAGCATCTGTGTGTGGCTGATCCACAGTATCCACTAAGAAAATAAATATGTTCTGTGCTAGAGGGAGAAGGAAATCCCATTTGAAGTAAATTCTTCCACTGTTTGGTTGCATACATTTCCTTCTGTGTGATGGTTTTTAGAGCAATCAGGTACAGAGAAGCTTTAGAAAACTTTAGTTCCAACATTTTAAGAGTCATTTTGTATGTTCTTCCACAGCTTCTGGTTTGTCTGGGATGTCGTATTTCCTTCTGTGTCTGATGCAAAATTGAAACTAAAGTGATGATACTAATATCCTTGTAAATAGGAAAAAATGTACCCTGCTTGTGTGATATGACTTATATTTGATTTCCCTAAGTCTCCATTGACAAGGAATGGAGTCTTTTAATCCCCAAATAAATATTTAAACCGGTTAGCTAGCTTTATACTAAAAGTACTTAATGAATTCTCTTCTGCTTTCTCTTTCAGGAGTCAGCAAGAAGCAGCAGCCAAAAAGTTCTTTTGATGACCTGTTCCCTTTGTGTGTACGTTAACAGCAGTATGTATGCACAGAAAACTTTTATAAATGAGGGAAAACTTAGTGTTTGATATACTTCAATATTGTAAATTATTGAATTTTGTTAAACCAAATGAGTTCCTATTTAAACTGTTAATGCTAAAGTTACAAATGGACTGGGGAGCAGCAGAACAAATGCCAGATAGGGGTCACAGTCTTCCCTTATCTAGGTTGTGTTTTCAGCTAACTTCTCATAAATACTGGAAGGCAAATGCCATATTCCTCTTCTTTTGTTAAGATTGCAGAGGAAGGAATTGAAAAACCTGGGTTTGGTTGTTCATAAAGAGATTTGCAGTTGTATGATTTGTGCAAAAACCTTCCTATTAAGTGTCCTGACAAGCAAATAAAACGCGTCCAAAAAAGCCAGCAACAACAAAAAGGACCACCAACCAACCCCAAACTGTTCTGTTTGTTTTTGAGGGGGCTGTAAAAGTGGTTTTTATAAACACTTCTTGACACTTGAATTTAACAGTTTAAGAATTACTATGTTAATTCTAACTCTTCACGAAATACAGATTTAAACATTTCTTAACATGTGGACACAAAGACAGACCTTTAACAGTCTGGCTGTTGATACCTGACGTAGAAAACAAAATATACTGAACAAGCAAATAAAGGCTAATCTCCTTATTTGGGGTTTTAGGTAGTGAGAAAAAACATGATAAAGTAGATTCTTCAAGTATATTGTGGACTGAGTTCTTTTTCATAGTTACAAGTGTGTCTGTAATTCTACTTGGAGATTTGTGGAACTTCTTCAGCAAAGATATCATTGCTTTATACCTCTTCAAATCTGTTTTTATTAAGGGTATGTTTAGTGTATAAATGTCTTATAAAACTGTCTTCTCTCTTTCATGTATCAAATACAAATGCTTTAAGTCTTGACATGGCAACTGTTCTGAACTACAGCTATTGAGTGTTTAACCCATTTCTTCACAGGCTGTTGTTTCAGACATGTTTGTTAGTCCAGTAGCTATTGTAGAGCCAGTATTGTGTGTCAGTTCCTGCTTGGTGTCAAAAGCATGAGACTGAACATGTGTGTTTGATGCCGCTTATCGGGTGAACATTTGCTTCAGGAAAGAAACAAAGTGGAGAGCCCAAAATAGGAATGTGAAATGAATTCATTTGGCCTTGTTTACGCATCTGTGGTGACTTTGTCCTTAGGTTGTTCACGTGTAGAGCTAGAATAGGGGGGTTTGGTTTGGGTTTTTTCTAATTCGATAAAGTACACAAATGCATTGGGATATTTCACTTTTAATTAATCTGTTTGTCTAGATCTGCATAAGTTACCTGGAATCTAGCATACTACTGCTGCATTCCTACACTCTACTCCCTTGGGGTGCAACACATGCTGCCAAATTTGCTGTAATGAAGAACACTTCAGTATTGTGCCTGTCAGTTTGGAGAAATGATAAATCTATGCAAACTATTTTGTTACTTACTGTGTTCAAAAAGTGGATATTTCTGCTATACCAATAGAACTGCCTACACACCTATTTACACAGCTACAGTATATAGTATACTGTATGTGGTATAGCTTTATAGATTCGTTTCTGAGTTTGAGAGGATTTTGCTGTGCTAATCAGAAACCACTGCTTCAGGCTGATCTTGCTGGATAAATAGGGTAAATCCTTACTTTCAACACCAGCAAATACTTACAGGTGCCTTGAGTCTAAGCTATTACAACCCTGACTCTTGTAACTAAACTTAATACATTTTCATAAATAGTTTTGAAAGTGAAGTGTTGTTCCTTTCAATTGCAGGCCTTCCTGTGTCAGTGCAGCATCTAAAGAGAACTCCTTCTCTCACAGCAGGCTTTGCAAGGCTTTTTGTACAGAAAGGCTAGCAACTTTATGTCTTAAGTAGGTGCACAGATCTGGGATAAGAGGAACAGCTCTAATGCATCGATTGGAGAAGGCCTGTACTTTTGTTACTGTGAATTTATCCAAATAGAACTTTCCTTTTAAAGCTGGAGCAGCCCATACCTTTGTGTCTTGTCTCAGAAAGATGATAAGGCTGGGGATGGTGTCTAGGGGGACAACCTGCAATTGCCTCTTCAGTATGAGGCTCAGCTCATGTGTTTGCTACTAACTGATCAGACACATCTCCCACGTGCAACTAGGAAACTTCAGTATTGGGGAGAAGAAGTTCCAATATGTAACAACCAAAAACTGATAATTTTGCTTCGTGCTTCATTTCACAGTTGTCTCCTTGGAACTTCCATAACTGCCTTGTCGCTCACTGGATCAAAGGAAAGCTCTCAATTGCCCAGCTCAAATTTTGTCCTGTATGTTCTTGAACTGATAGCACCAAATCTGTACCGTACGAATGTTAGTCAATGTAGCCTCCTGTTACAGCTGGCTACCAGAAGTTTCTTTTAACCCTAATAGTACGTTTGATTCTTATCAAATAAGATTTCAGGACTAGGAGAAGACACCTTGGAATTCAGTTTTACAGTATGGGGGAGAACAACTCTAACTACTTGAAGTGTGAATGCTAAGTAGCAAATATTTGGCAGTAATGAGAATTTCATTGTACTGGTCAGAGTATGTTATACATAGTCACACCTGAATCTTTCAAAAGTAAAACCCACAATATGGTTTGTAAATTGCCTAACTTCCTGTTTGAAGAGAATTTGACACTTATCAATGCATCAGTTACTGTAACACCGAATACTGTCTACTGTTGGGGGTTTTTTTTTCTAATTCAAACAGCTGACATTGTCATATGTTTGTTTCTGACTAATGTAAATTGACACTTGGAGTTCAGAGATATCATTATTTGAATAAAGATGCATATTTTTAGTAAGTTTTTTCTTTTAATTGCGTATATGTCCACGAAATCCAGGCAAGTGCATCTGAAGCATTCTTTACCCTCTATTTAGAGAGTTCGAATACTTTGAGATCCGGGTTCAGTCCTGCCTGACACTGGAGAATTAACAGCATTCAGAGGCTGAGGCTCTGCCTGTGTTGAAGGGGCAGATGACTGGCAGTGGTTAGAAAGATACACTGAATCTAGAGTTCATTCTGCTCAGAGGAATTATATCCTCTGTGTTGTGGTCTAGTGCAAGAGTGGCTCTAACCTAAACCCAAGATTTGCTCTAAAGTTTGTGTTAAGAGTATCAGACTTGCCTTGAGGATCAGATGCTTAGAGTTAAATGTAAAGTAGGATGTCAACTTCTCAGTCTCTTAACAGCCAATCGAGTTCCTTGCTGGTTGCTTTGTTTTTGATTCCCCAAACTGCTGTCACCAGAATGCTCTGTCTCCTTGTTTGCTTTTTGATTTTTGCTTTGGGTTTGGGTTTTAACTGTTCTGCCCAGTAAACTGTGTCTGTTTATTGGGCACAGTAAACTCTGTGGTAAACTCCCACAGGAAGAGTAAGAATTCCCTCACTGACCATCGTTTTCTCCCACCCAGAAGCTGTGAGCACCCCACTGTTGTGAGCAGTGGATGTGAAGGTCAGTGAGATCAAAGCTTTGCTCTGGAGTTGTGATGCACCCTCTGTCTCTATCCACTGTTTCTAGAAATGTGTGAGTGAGTTGACCAAGCACCTTCTCCCCTCACTTAGGTTTATCTGTCTTCTGCACTTGAGATCCACTGTGTTCTGAGCAGGATGGGGCAGGTTACATATTTTAGTCAGGCTGTAGTTTGGGCATTAGCCATTGCTTTTTTTTCCAGGGACTTGCTCTTGGCCAAGCCCCTCTTATATTTAAGTCAGCCCTTTATCTTCACTTCCTCCTTTTAAATTAGGCTGCATAGCAGAGAGGGGCTCCTGTGGACTTGTTCTGGGTCATGGGGTTGCCCTACTGCTCAGCAGTCTCAGTGCTCCTCCAAAGACTCTCCTTGTCCTGAAAGAGATGCTGGATTAGGATTTACTTCTGAAGTGCTAGCAAAGTAGTTCTGTTGTGATTTGGAATTTGTGCTTCTGAGTGTACTCTATTTAAAAAAGTAAGTTTCTTGTTTAATCATTAATAATCCAGGATTGTTGAACGTCCTGCCTTTTTTTTTTTGTTAACAGTAAGAGGCCTGCTTTAATTGAAGGCTCTAATACAGATTAAGGCCTTAGGCAAATGGGAATCCTCCCATCTCTCAGTGAATTTATGAGTGCTGGGAGAACCATTTAGATAATCAAAATTAGTGTTTCATTAAGGCATGTGCAGTTGGTCACAGTAGGATAAATGCTCAAAACCCAAACCCTGGAACTTTTGAGACCTATCAGGTCATTTTTCTTTCCCAAAATAGCCTGTAGTCTCGATAGCAGATTCTGAAAATCTTTACCTGAATAGACCTGGTGGGGCTACTGATGTGAATAAAAGGTTGAAAGAGGAAGACCTACAGAAGCAATCCACAAACAAAAGCTAGCGAGGGTGTATTATAGCATACAGAATCAGTGAGATTAATTTCTCCTTTACTGACAGTAAAGATTAAAGCCAGCAGGTATTCTGTGCAGCGCCAAAGTGGTGACCTAGATGGAGACAGCCTCCACCTGGAGGAGTTGAAATAAATACTAAGGAGTGAAAAGTAGCAAGATGTGGTTTGCTTTGTTTGCAATTGCTTCCTTGAAAATCAAGTAACCCTAGCAGTACTGCCCTATTCACATGTGAGGCAAACCAACCATACAAAAGGTGGATGAAGAAAAACCATTCCATGTACTTTCTGTCCAAGGTGATAAAATTTTAATGGATAAAAAGGGTCGGGGGTTTTGCTTAATGAGGAATTCTAGTGTATATCCAAAAGGGGTTTTGGCTCAGTAGCCCGAATTTCACTATGAGCATTTAGTCAGCCAGGCTTCTAATTCAGATCTGTTGTGTTCCAGGGAATGTTTTCATCTCTGAAAGTGAGAGTTTCGAGACTTAAGAAGTCAAAATGCTGTTTCACACTATGATTGATTGGTGTGTGTAAATTAGCTTAAGGTATTAATATAAAAAGTAGGTAGCTGCATCTAATGACTTTTTTGGAGTAATCTGAACCATCTGCCTCTAGATATTAAGGAGTTCACTCTTTAATCCAGATTATGGCTGACAAACTGGTTTTGGCATTCACGTTTCACTAGCATTGTGCCCTTGAAGAGCTGATGGGGCTGTAGAAACTCTCTTGCTTATAGTTGCTGGTTTTGAGAACGTGTTTGGTTTGGTTTGGCTTTGTTGTAGTTGTTTGCTTATAGCTCCTTTTTCCTTGAAGATGGCTTTTCTAATGAAAAGTATGTTGAGCAACCAGGTAAAGAATTTGGGACTTGGAGGTGGAGGGGAAGAAAGCAAAGAAGAAAGCACTCCTTCTGATCCAGCAGCAGCTGCAGGAATGACCAGAGAGGAGTATGAGGAATATCAAAAGCAAATGGTTGAGGAGAAGTGAGTACCTGTTCCCTTATTATCAGTATGGGGCTGAGTGGTGGTAACTTTGTGCAGATAAAAATAACCCAAGAAAAAGCCAAACATTCGGTGTGCTTCCCTTTTCTTAAAGCAGATGAACCTTTGCTAAAGAGACTTTCCAAAATAAAAGTTCACCAACTGGAAACGATAAATACTATACGTGTCATCTGTCCGTCCGTGTCCCCTGTCGTCCCCCCCAACTCTCTCCTACGCTTCCCTCCTATCTCCACACCTCGATAGGCTGGATTCATTCCTAGTTGATGTTACTTTACCTGTCATTTATCCATAGGAGCAAGCTGTTGTGCAGGAGTTAATTCTAAAATATGTATGATTTGTTCACCTAGAACTCGGTGTGGATACACTTTCAGTACTCAGTCTTTTATTTGTCCGCATCTATTATGGCAGATGTGGAACAAGCAGTGAGTGCTGCTTTAAATGGATGATATTTATCTAGATAAAAGATTTGAGATGATTATTTTTTTTGTAGCTGCATTTTTCAGTTTGGTTTTTCTTTTACGAACTACAAAATCAGCGCTTTTCAACTGATGAATCTCAATCTTTTGACTGTGACTACAATTTTTACCACTTGCTGTGTTTAAATATCAAACCAGAAGTAAAATAGAGGGACTTGACGGATAGGAGTTCAAATCATACATAATTATAAATAAAACGCTTGACTTTTAAATCTCAAACGCATCTGTTCCTGTAATGGTCAATTACATAATGGTCGTGTAAATCCTTCATATAAGATGATTATAGGTGAAAGGTTAATGACTGACGGCATTGAGGTATCCGGGTCTGCATTTAGCAGCAGCCCTTTCTGTCATAAACCCCTGAATAGTATCATTTCCTTTGGAACAGAATACAGAATGTTTTGCTGTGCCTTTTGTCAAGGGGTATTTAAAAGGGAGAGAGCCTCCTGGCAGCAGGAAGATGCTTGATTGAAACGGAGAATCAAAACAGTATCCCTGGGATAGGGAAAACGCTTGGAAAAAGGATTCCTTCTGTCAGGTTTTCAAGTGTGGCATGTGTGTTACACACTGACCTGTACTGAGGATTCGGTGCAGTACTTTGGGAAGTACAGTTTGGAGCCATGGTAGGAACACATGAAGTACTTTCAAAGAGGACAAAATCTGTGCACAAAAAGCGCAGGTTGCTGTGTCTCAGGAAAACGTCCTGTGCAGAAACAAACGGGTGGCTTGTGCTGGCAGTGTCACATAGAATCTGCTTCCAGCATCACAAGAGTTTAAGCACGAGGTGACCACCGGTTTGTGCTGTGCATCACAGCCTGTCACACAACTACTCTTACACCCGTTTCCTGTTCCTACACGGCTTCATGTTCCAGGGAGTGATTAGATCCTCTAGAACAAAAAGGCTTAAGATTAGGCCAGGCATTGGTGGGAGATTGGCCGACTGAGTTTTGCCAGGTCTTCCCATGATGCCAGAACAAGTGAAAAGCTCCGGTCTACCTGAGCAGAAAATCCCCTCCTGCCCCTCAGCCTCAAAGGACAGCCGAAGGGATGCGCAGTAATGCTGCACACCCACTGCCCTGTGGGAACATATCCCAGTACTGATTATGGCTGCTAATGGCTCCTCTGGAGGAGTGGGCAACATGGGAGGCAGGCTGAGAAACAGAGGGAAAACATGCCAGAGAGGCTCGAAACAATCTTCCTATCAGTGAGTGGCTGAAAGAAGTTTAAGATGGTTTCCAGTTAATTTATTCTTCTGAAACAATAAATGGATGCAGAAAAGAGCAGGAAAAGTCATGGATGACAGAGGCCATCCCAGGCTATTAAAAACAATGATGGAGAGACAATTTCCAGCTCCAGTACCCTACACCACTGATTTTTGGAAGCTGGGCAGTTTTGATGCTTTTGTTTCCATTACCGTCACCTGTGGAGATGGGACTCCAGCACAGATAAACTTTTGGTCTGACCCAGAAAGGCTATTCTGCCATTGCGTGTGTGGTGGTATACTGAGAATGTCCCATTTGTACAACAGGAGAATTGGCGGGCGGCTGCGTCCTCTGTAAGTGCCTCAGTGGAATAAGCAAGGCATAAGCATAACTGCCCTGTTCTGCTTTGTGGAGTTGTTCATTGTTACAGTGAGCAGTAACAGCTAGTACAGATAGAAATGCCAGACAAGCAGTTTATCCTTCCCAGTTGGTTTATCTTTCTTCTTCACAGGACTCAAGGGAAGTGTTCTGAGAACAAGCAGGAGGGTGGGAATTCTGGCCCCTTAGCATCACTTTACTGATATCAATAATTACTCCGTCTGTGCCTTTGGACAAGATCCGTAACTTTGGGAAAAACTCCTCTGTGTAGCTTTATGCAGCCAAGCAACTGCTTCAGTGTAAAAGACTCTATTTTAATGGTATCTTGAAACACTTTTTCTGACTTCCAGGATGGAAAGAGATGCAGCATTTGCACAGAAAAAAGCAGAGCGAGCCTGTCTGAGGGTTCACCTGAGAGAGAAGTACAGACTCCCAAAGGTACGCCTGTAGTTCCTGACCTCACCTAGGTCAGTCGCCAGCTTTGGAAACGCTGCCAACACAGTCCTGAAAATGACAAACTGCCTTCACTAGTGGGATCCCCTCTGCAGTTCAGTACAGAAATGGAGGAGCCCAGAGCTACGGTTTTCCCCAGTGATTGTTTCTTTTAGACCTGTTTTTCTCTGCTCAGTAGGTGAGTCTAACAGAAAGGCACCATAGGGAGCCCTACATCGATGAAATGAATGAACCAGAAGGCACTAACAAGGACCTGCAGGTTGGAGGGTTGTCTTTATTAGAATCGGTGCTGTCTTAAGCAGAGTTTTACATCGTTCTCAGAGATCTCTGTAGTTCCAGAGGTTGTGTTCAGACCCTTCTGAGGGGAGAGCAGGATCTTTGTTTCATGGACTTTCCAAATTATTCTACTATGTACATAACATTCATCGATTTTGTGTTCCGATCTCTTATGTTTCTTTGGTTTAGCCCCGTATGCTGTGTTACTCTGCACTATTTGCACCAAGACACAGATTCTGCAGTTGCTGTTGTTGACTTCATAGATTTACTGGGGAAAGGGAGAAAGATTAAGAGCTGCTTCCTTCCACCCTGACACAGATGGGTAGACCGTGTGTTCCCATAGCCTGGGGTACCACAGGGAGCCTCCCCTCTTCTAAAACCTGGGTTGCATCCATCCCTGAGCTTCAGTCTGTGTGCAGGCAGTGAAAAAAGCTTATTTCTGCTAAGTCTTTGGAGGCTCAGGGTTGCGTAGGCTCCTTACTCATAGACTGTTAAAGGGTCATGTGAGTTCTCCCAGGAATAACTAATCTGAGAATGGTGGTGGTTTATATGCCACTAAACTGCTTTTAGCCTGGTCACTCCTTCATTGCTTATAAAAGATTTCTAAAGAGGTTTATTTTCCCAGCTCCGTTAAGATGTCTTTATCTTGCAGTTATGTCAAGTATGACTTCAGGGACTCGCTCAAAGTTGTTTATTTGAGCAAATGCCTTATTTATCAAAGAATGGCTGTTACCCGGAGTCTTCTGGTTGCTGTTCCCTTCGCAGGCAGTGTCCTGATGGTCTGATCTGTGCGCGCTGGGTTTTCCCAGAAAGGAGGGACCCAGCAGTCAAGCAATTAGAAGCTGATAAAGTCACCTGTGCTCAGAAAGTGACCAGATGCTGTAAATACGAATTACAAATAAGGTCTTTTTTGCAGTGTGCTTGATGTTGTTTCTAAGCCTGAGCTGCCAAAGGCCCTCTAGTGCCACGTTCATCAAATTGCAGCACTCTTCCATCATTTGCTTTAACCCTCGAGGCCAGTTACAATTTGCATGAGAAGTGACTCAGCCTTGGAACTCAGATAAAAGTTATACCACCTGCATTTAACCGTTCGGGCAGGCCTTATAATCGGGGGGGGGGGGGGGGGGGAAATGGCTTTTCTCTGACTTTGCAGCCAAACCCTTGCTAGGTGACTGCAAGAGAGAGAAGTGCTGTTTTAAAGGGGATGCCAGAATGGTTTGAGGCTGGTGCTGGGAGGGGGGAGCAAGAGGAGAAAATGCTGAGGCTTCTCCACAGTCAGTCAAGCTGCCCCTGCTCACCCTCTGCACGCATCAGCGTTGACCAAAGCTTTCAGAAGCAGATTTGAAGGGAGCACACTTCTCTGTAACAACTCGTTTCAGGTCAGCATGCTCTGTCAGGACATTTGACTTTTAAAATTGGCTGAAGGCACAGTTTGTCATCTTAAAAAATGAAGGGACCCCTTCCACTAGAGCAGCTTGCTCCAAGCCCCATCCAGCCTGGTCTTGAGCACTGCCAGGGATGAAGCAGCCACAGCTTCTCTGGGCACCCAGTGCCTCAGCACCCTCGTAGGGAAGAGCCTAAGCCTGAGAGCTCATCTCAGAATCCCCTCTTGCATCTTAAAGCCATCCCTCCTTGTCCTGTCCCTAAGTGCCCTTCATATATAGGGGTAGAAGGAGCAAGGGCAGATTATATGCTAATGCTTGTCTGCATTCATCAGTTGCAATATACCATTTGTTCTAGGCCTGGGTGCTCAGCAGAGTGACAAGGCAGAGGAAAGTGTATCTTGAGGGTGAGTTTAATTACAGAAAGATTAATTATGAAAAGAAAAAAGTACCAGATTTGAAGTGGCTGATTGGATTGCAGGCCTAAACCTCTAAACACCAGCATTTTCATTAGCAGCTGAGCAGTAAAATATCATTAGGCTTTGTTTTCCTTTAGGAGGCGTGCGCTGAGCCAGCTCCTGAGCAGCAGTAGTTTCAAAGGCTTCAGGACAACTTGGTGCCTAGCTCTCAACTCCAGGTCAGGGGAGCTTGGGTGTCTCTGATTTTGAAAGTCTCCCGTCTGTAGTGCTTCCTTCAGTTCTGAGGTGGCGTTTAGGTCTCTGCAGTCGCCGCTGGTGACCTCCAACGAGCACACTGCCACCTCCCTGCACTCGAGAGCATGCTGTGGTGATCTGTCCCATCTTCACAGCATCTTGACTTTGGTATGCGCAGTGCACTTTGGGGGCCAGATTGCAGTAACAGCAATAGAAGGCTTGCCTCCGAGGGCAGGAGGTCTCAGCCAGCAAAGAAGATACGAAGCATCCACTCAGCTTTGCTGAGGTGCAGTGGTTGCAAGTAAAATTTTGCAGGATATGCTTTTTGGCATTTGTGTCTGCCTCAGTAGCACTTCTTGAGTGAAGGTCTGTTTTCTTTTCATCAGCCCTTGTGAAAACGTATGTTGTATCAGGAAGAAAATGAAATTATGATGTGCGTGCTGTGTATGTCCCTGATAAAAAAATTCCGCTCTGATACATTCTGGCAGCAAAATGCTCTCAGATGTGTGATAATGCATTAATTATTTTGAAAAATGAAAGTCATTTCAGGTAGCTTAGTAGGGGATAGAAACCCTGAATATTACCAGTATCAATCACTAGCACACATTGTAAATGAAAGCATGAAATTCAAGACTAAGCAGGGCCCCTTTTTCAGTGCAAAAGCTAACGCTCCATGCTCTCTGGGCTAGATTTATAAGAGAAAGCAGTCCCTTAATGAACCTAATCCTATTAACAGAATTGTCAACTTAGGTTTGTCATCAGAAAGATGTTTTTAGCCATGAGACGTTTGATCTATGGACAACTTTTTCATCTCCAGAGTATTCAATACTTCACCTCTATGCAAAATATTTAAAGAAAATAAATAGATAAATATTATAAGTAAATAAAAAACCACATCAAACTCTCTTAATCGTTTCTCTTTCCTTAACTGAGATCCAGTAATCAATTACCTTCTGCAAGGTCTAAACACAGGGGTGTGAGTTGATGGTGCCCGGAGAGGAACATCTGACCACAGGCCTGTCCAAGGACCTCATCTGCGGTATGGCAACCTCAGGGCATGCATATTGACCACGGGCCCCACCACCCCTTTCACATCAGTGGTCTGCACATGTATCCACCACGTCACCTCAGCTGGCGCTGCTCCCTGTCAGCGTATTGCCACATCAGTGCTGCTGTTCTGCCCAAGTGCTGGGGGTTGTGTTGTGATGTATGAATTTCTAGCACCTCGGGAAGGGGCTGTGTCATCTGCTCCATGCAGGTGGATCCCTTCCCTAGTCAAAGCACTTGTGTGGGCATTGCTCTGTGAGATTCTGTTACTGAACAGCAGGATGTTTCTCATTCACTGATGTTTAGAGAGAAAGTATTCGGATGCAATCAGGTGTCTTTTCAATCACAAGTGCTGCTGTAGACATTAAAAAGGAAAGTTCTCCCCATGAAAGGGGTGTGTAGTCATGTAATCTCTTGGTCTATTGTGTTATGATGGGAATATTGTCAAGGCTTGATTTCATGAATAGCACCATTCCAGAATTAAAGGATTTTTAACTCGTATGCAGCCCTTGCATAAGCTCTGGCTGTGCTGCAGGGGATGCACATTGACCAGGCAGAAACAGAAACTTGGCTCAGGGGAAGCTCTTCGTAAAGCATACAGGCTGTAGATAAGCATCTGAAAACAAGCATTTGCTAAGCTTGAAGAAGAGCAGGGGCTGTTGGCACATAATGGGTTGGTAAGTGGGGTAACTGGAGGACTTAGACAACAAAAGAGAGGATGAAGGAGAAAGCAAAAGGAGGTGGGAGAAGGAACTGGATAAGCAATTAGAAGGGCTGAGCTGCAGTAAGTGCTGAATTCTTTTGCTGATCTAAAGGATTTTTAGACCAGAGTGAAACAGCTGTGGATCCGCTGTGGCAAAATGGAATCACTGTGAGTGTCAGGAGCAGTGGGAACAGGATTGCTCCTGTTCCTACATAGGAAGATGCCTACGAGGCCCTGACAGCTGGGGTGTTGAGCAGCTTCCGCACACCTTCCTGTGCTGCAAAGTGTGATCCCTGTGCAGGGATGCACAAATGGGTGTTTGGGAGTGGGAGACAGGGCTGCTGGTTGCAACCTGTGGCTCCTTGTGCCTCCCTGTGAGGTACCTGCAGCCCTTGGAGGGCACAGTCAGCGTGGGGCTGCTGTGCTACTTACCAAAAATCCCACTTGCAGGTCAAGGCAGGATGAATTCTGATTTTGTATGTAACTGGAACATTATAGGTGATGACTCACAGGATGAGGTCTGGATTCACCCACCCAAAGGATCTTTGCACATAGCCATAGGTCAATCTTAAGACAGGGTAAGTTAGACATAAGGGAAGCAGTTCATCACACAGTGATGCTGAAAACCGTTTGGCTCCCCTGTGGGTTAGTCTGTGAACTTTGATCTGTTTACAGTCAGCCTTCATATAGACAGGTTTAGGCTGTATTTAGATTATAGACTGTGTTTTCTGTTTACACTTGTGTATCACGTCTGCATAAAGACGTCTGTGTTACGTTGCACCTCTCACTAGGTGGATCTGAGTGACTACTCCAGATGCATAATCAGGGTCAAAGAATATGAGCAGTCACTAGGGCTGTATTACCTATGCTGTTGGATTGTCGGAGTAGCGTCTGACCCAATTTTGGCCTGGGCACTCTCCCAGGCACTTCCCAGGGCTGGTCGTGGAGTTAGGACAGGCATTGCCAATGGGCAGTTAGAGGGGACCACCCTGTTTGGTTGGGCAAGAGAGCTCAATGGCATTGCAGTGGGTTGTTCCAGGCCAGCTGGCCTTGGGGCAAGAGACCAGTGCCAGGCATATTTAATTTACTAGAATAGATGTTGCTTCTGTGTTCTCAGAGATCCTAAAAGCGTGGCTGAACACTTGCAGAGACCTGGAGACTATGAGGATTGGAGTCATCAGGAGGGAGGCCAGCCAGTCCAGTGCAGGTTTGGCAGGGTCCAGAGCGGCTTTCTGTATGGGTTTGTTAGAGCCCACAGCCCCAGCTGGCCTGTCCATGAGCTCTGCCTGTTTTGGGTGCCCTCTGTAGTCCAAGCTGAGTGTGTTCTGCTGCGGGGTCGTGCCTCTATCGCTGTCCAGCCCCTCTCTGACCTTCAGCAAGGCACAGTCCCCACATACGTCCAGGTGGGACAGTCAGGATCTGCACACCCTGCTCACACTCTGATTGCAAGCTGCTGTCTGAAGCTAACAGACACAGTGCCTTCACAGCACCACATTTCTGGTCCTGACTTTCAGAAGGGAGAGCTTGGCGCTTGCAACCTCACTGTGGATTTGCACTTGCAGCATTAGCCTGACTTTGAGAACATCCTGTGGGAAAATACTCTGGTCTCTCCTTGTGAGAAAACACGCTTTAACTTACTTCCCCCAGACCTGAAAAACAAAACACAACACAACAGGTCAAATCAGAAACTTCATCCTACATTTCCATTTCAAATCCAAGTAACAGGACGAGTTCTGGCAAATTCTAGAAGAAAGAAGAGGCCACACACATCTTAGGTACTGCTTTGCTTGTGGTTGAGCAGCCCTACCCCGTTGAAGCTCATACTCGGTCTGTTCAAGGACAGACTAAATGCAAAGTGGGTAGAGGCAGGTGACTTGGGCAGAATTGTACTACTTTAGATTGTACTAGATTTTATTTAGAGCTGTGCTACTTTAGACTGCCTCTGAATGTGCTCTTCTTTGGTCAGAGACCACTTTGAACACCAAACCGGGCTGTGCGTCACATTTCAGGCTTCTGGAGGGCAGGGGGCTTTGGGGCAACAACACCCCGAACAGCCGTGCATGTTGCCAGAGTGGCCTTTGTGTGCACTGTATAAAGAACCCTTTTGCCAATTGGGATATTGTTTCTAGCTCCCACAGATCTGCCAGCAGCAAGCCTCACCCAGAGGAGTCAAGAGACATCCCTACTCGTTTTAGCCACATAGTAGTAACTGTCATGATAACACTCCTCCATATTTTCCTAACAAAAAAGAGGAGAAATGAGGTTAATCAGTACAGCTGTTGCAAATACAAAGCTGTGTAAGTACACGTCACAGTAAATAGTGGCTATGCGGTCAAGCTTCCCGGTCTGCCTGTCTTGCTAGGGCCCGAACTACACAGACACTGCTCATATGCATCCTCCCATTCATTCTTGCATTCATTCATTCATGCAAACCCGAGACCTCGCTCACTCTCAAAAACACCTCCTGCTGATAGCATTGCTGCTTATTCATATCAGGCCTTTGCTGCTGTCATGCTTCATTTTGGAGATGTAATGAGGCATTAATGCTTATCTTTGATGTGTGAACTGTGTCAAAATATCCTGTTCTTCTGAGCTCTAGATGCAGCAGAATCCACCATAAAATGTGAACAAAATCACCATTGTTTAGGAACTGACACAGCCCCACTGATGGAGCGTTTCAGTGGGCAGGCAGGAAGCGAGTGTGCGTAGCACTTGCTGCAGCTCAGCCCTTCTAATTGCTTATCCAGTTCCTTCTGGTCTCCTTTTGCTTTCTCAGACTCACACCCAACCTTCATCCTCTCTTTTGTTGTCTAAGTCCTCCTATTACCCCACTTACCAGCACATTATGTGCCAGCAGCGCCTGCTCTTCTTTACAGCTCAGGGATGCCAACCAAAGACCTAGATACAGTTTAGATGCAGTCTGGGGAAGATGGAGACCTTTGTTTCCAGTAATTCTTTCCTAAGTTTAATGCGTCTTTCTTCAGGAAAGCATCAGTTTAGTGCTGATACCTAAAAAGCACACACCAACAAATGCATAAGGAAACAATAGCCACACAGTTCCTCTAAAGCTCCTGCTTCATGGACTGCATCACACAACAGATGACAGTCTATTTGGCACGTCTTTGGTGGATGCAAATAACTTGTGGCTTTCCTGCAGTATCAGCTTGTTACCACAGGTAACACATATGGCAAAGACTTCAAAAATGGCAAGTGCCACTGAGGGCTTTGTTTCGAAAACTACTGACACCTCCGAACAACCACTGAAACCCTTCAGGGAGAGAGAACAGAAATCTTAGCACTTGTATGGGGGCTCCTGAGCCCCTGAGTTCACAGCTTTGACTGAAAAATCTGTGCCTATGGTTTTGTTCTCCTTAAAACCAGTAAAACCCCCAGACAAGTGACCAGAAGAGGCTCAGTGGTAGATCCTGGCGCAGCAGAAAGGCTCTCATGCGCTGTTCTTGTTTTCTCCTCTTTGTACCAGAGTGAATTGGATGAGAATCAAATACAGATGGCTGGAGATGACGTGGGTTTGCCAGAAGACCTTCAGAAGATGGTGGCAGAAGATCAAGTGGAGGAAGAGGACAAGGACTCTATCCTGGGACAGCTGCAGAACATCCAGAATATGGACATGGATGCGATCAAGGAAAAAGCGCAAGCCACCTTCACTGAAATCAAACAGGCAGCAGAGCAGAAATGTTCTGTGATGTAGAAGAGCCACCAAGGTCCAAGGGTTATGACTTCAGCCTTGTCTCAGAGGGGCTGGGCTGCAGAGTGAGGGCAGGCTGAGGAATGCACTTAGCTCTATAGCATTAAATGTAAATACAGAAGAGAGAGAGAGAGACTTAAAACCCCGGGGGGGGGGGGGATGACATGCTGTGACTGCTCAGTGCGAAGTTAGAACTGAGCCTCACTTTTTAACAGAGCATTTTTCCCCATAGAAAAAAAAAAAGTAGCTTCAAGAAAGCTGACAGTGGGGAAAAAATGTGCCTTCCTCCATGTTTTCAAGGTGATCAGAATGCTGTTAAATGTGTATTGAGAAAAAACGTGCTTCTGGTGCACCAACATACAGGCAGCCACTCATTTAATAGTGCTTTCAGCAAGAAATCTGTCTCTTTCTAATAAAACCATGGACGTTTCAAACATTTTGACACAAACCCAGTATTGCGATGCGGGCATTTCTGCAGAAGCTTCTTTAAAACCTGGGTTTGACCATCTCTGTTCTCAATACAGCAAAAGGCTAAAGTGAAGCATTTAACTCTACAGCTTGGGACAAAAATGGCCAAGGCCTGGTAGCTATCCACGAAGCATGGTCAGGCAGCAACACAGACTTCTCCAGGCTGCTTTAATGTCTCTTGGCTTCAAATGCTGGTCAAACACCAAGAGCCAGCAGAGGCCCCCAGCTTGGCTGCTCTGTGCCAGATTCTGGGGCTTGGGTACCAGCAAATCCCTTGGAGAGGCTACAGTGAAAATGAGCTCACAGGAGCATCAGTCAGGAGCATCTGTGCTGTGTGCTTGCACAGATGTAGTCACCGTGCATGACAGCCCACCCCAGAGCTGTACAGCCCATGCACATGGATGCTGTACACAACTCCTGAGCCTAGTAAACGAAGGACTTTGTATGCTCTCCCAAGAGCTAGCCTGTGAATGAAGTTTGCAAATGAGCACATGTAGCACCTTCCTACAGGTTTGTAAGTCCCTTTCTCTCTTCCTCCACCCAATCAAGTAAAAGTGTTCATTTTAAATGAATTAATGCACTAAGTATGGTTTGGTTTGTCTCCTTTCTTTCCCTCTTTTCCTGCCTTCCTGCCACGTTTTTCTTTCTTTTTACCCTTCTCTTCTGGAGATGTTGGTCCTGTCCTCCATGGGACAGCGATTTGTAGGGGGGTTCTTGGGTGCAAGAGATCATCTTGGAAAAGCTCTTTCAGCAATCACTGTTTGAATATAAGCTACATAGGCTTGTCTGAAAACCTGTTATCAAGTATTTTCCCCAGTGCAGTCCTATGAAATGTGCCTTGTCTTCTTGCTCAATTCTTTCTTACTTAAGAAACACAGAAGTTGCCAAGTTTTCCTTCCTCACTTTTTCCAGAGGATGCCCTGGTCCATTTAGAGAGGAATGCCAGTGGCTCTCACATTGCAACAGGTCATTTCTTCAGTGGAGGAGTCCTATGTTCAGCATGCTCATCAAGCATCAGGGCTAGCAAATGCTAACTCGGTTTCAAACACTGCCTAAACCCACCAAGGCTTCTGATGCGCTTTCTGTCTTCCCTCTGTGTTTGTATAAATCTGGTAGGTGTCTCCATGCTGTTCTGCTGCTTCAGAGACTGAATTATCTCACCCACGAAACACAAGCCTGAGGCTTTCGATCTTTGAATTAAAATGTGCCTGGGACATCCTGGAAAGCTTCCTGGGAGCACCTGAAGGTTTGAAGGAGCCGATGACATTTGTCAGCACATTTGGGACCACCATGTCCCGGTTCACGGTTTCAGAGGTCAGAGAAGAGAGTACAACCAAAATCACCCAACAAGCAATGAATGAGGTTCCGAGGGCCTGCTGGGGCTGGCAGAAGTGAGTGGAGCTGGGGGGCAGCTGCAGGATGGGGCCCCCCCCATGCATAGTGAGGGCTGCTCCCAGCCCTGGCTGCACCGACCTGCTGCTGGGAGGGCAGGGGCAAATGCATGTGTACATATGTGCGTGCACCTGTGTGCATGCATGCAGGTGTACATGTCTGTGTGCGTGTGTGTGTGTGTGCTGCATGGAAAAGGAGCAGATTAAAGTGTTAGGTCACATGGGAGCTACTGCTGGACGGACCCTACCTGGGATTTGGGTTCTTACAGTTAATAGGATCGCTGGAGCTCAAGGCCATCATCCCATCAGGATAAATGTCTCTAGTGCCCACTTTTAAGCAATCCGAATTCAATTAGGCTAATTGGAAAACAAGTAAAGAAGGATTGCATTAATATAGCCTTATAGCATGAACCTGCACTCCCTCTCTCCGGAGGGATGGCTGAGTGTGGTGAGCCCAGCCCAGCTGCTCCCCAGCCAGCAAGGGCCGCCCTGCTCCCCGAGCAGCCATGGCCCACCCTGTACCCACAGCCAGGATGTGGGGCAGCAGAGCCCATAGCGGCTCAGGCTCTGTGCCGCACTCCCCGTGAGAGTCCAGCCTGCCACAGAGCACCTTGGACGCGGTGCAGAAAACACAACCAGCTCCCCCAGGGCAGGCACAAATCGCACCAGGGAGCAAGCAGGAGGCGACTGTCAAGGTGTGAGGGCTGCAGTGATGGGAGGACGCAGCAGCTTTCTCACACCCTCTGCTTTGAGAAGGTTCTTACGCTGCACAAGGAGGAGCTTCTGGGGAGAAAAAAGGCAAAGCCAGTTCTTTCAGCTGTTAGCAACCTGGAAGTGACACAGTATGCAAAGTGCAGCGGGTGCAGGTTCCCTAGCATGACGTATGTCCCAGGTGACTCTGGCAGCAGAGGGTTTAGCTGACAGCCCACACATTAGACCCACAGGGGGATATTCAGTTACCTTTCTTTGCCATCCTAGCATCTCTGTGTCAGTCTATGATTACCAGAGGAGCTGTTAGACTTCGTCCCCCCAGAGCAGTGCAGTGCCACCACACTGTGCCTGAAGCAAAGCAAGAGGGAAAGGATGGAGATGGAGCTGGAGGGGCTGATCCCTGCTCTGCTGCTGGGGGGGGGGGGGGGGGGGGGTGTCAGAGTTTCACAGGCTGTGATGAAGGGAAGTTGCTTCCTCTCTCGACAGCTCCACTGCCTTCACGAAGGGTGCTCCAGTGACAAATGCAGTTCCATACAGCGAGTACAACTGTAATAAGGAGCACCCTCCTCTCTTAGGGAGGAAGCTCTCTCCTGTACCATGTGGGACGTGTGCCCTGCTTGGGGGGGGGGGGGGAAGGTTTTTTGCTCTGCTTTTGCATTATAGGCAAAACCAATGTGTCTTGTCCCTGTATTTGACAATTTTGACACGTGACCTAAAAGCAGCATCTGTACCAGGCCACAACAAGTAAAGCCCATTCCCCAGTTTGCCCAGGGCTTCTGGAGGGCCAGGCACATTTTGTGCTGGTTGCGGTGCCATGACCCCCCCCCCCCCCCGCGCCAAATTAGCAGAAATTAGGGACATTGCACAGTTCATTCATCTTCACTAATAGAGTTCTTGGGAAACACACATGTAGATTAAAGGAGCACAATGGCCCCTGGCTGATTGCTTTGAGTACCCTCCAATGCCCCTACAATGGTATTGACTTGCTTTTCATATTGTGCACAAAAGCCACACTAACCTTTTCTTGTCTCTTCTGTTGGCCTCTCCCCTCTTTGCCAGTGGATGGCTGAGTTCTTTCGGCCCCAGCCCCCCAGAGCAGTGAGTAAGGCAAAGCTCACCTGGAGCCAGGAAAAGCTGAGCACTTCCACAAGGAATTAACTTTGGAACGCCGGACCATAAACCTCCAAAAGGTGGGCACCGGCAGAGGCAAGCACTCACAACCTTTGGTTTGAAGTGATTCCTCTGGGAAGAAACTACACAGAATGCATCCTGCTGGGGCAGGGAGGGAAAATGCAGATTTGTTGAGAGAGGTCACACTTTTTATTAGGCCAGCTCCTATGTCTGGAAGCAGCAGCGTCCATTCACATACACTCTCCTCAGGCTTGAAACAGAAGAGTCTTCAAAGCTGAGTGCAGGCTGAAAACCACTGTGGATGTTACTGTGTTTGTCACTTCACTTGGTGCCGCAGAGGGATTCGCAAGTGCTACCATGAAAAAGTGGTAAACTGAAGAGAAAAGTGGGATAAATGCTGCTCCAGGAAGGAGGACCTTGGAGGCAGGAGACATGAGGCCACTGCCTGGTTAAGTACTGTGCCAAGTCCAAGTGCTCCACCTGGCCAAGCGCAAAGGGAGGGTTGGGACTTGACTCTCTGCCTTACCTCCAAAAGCATTCTGTGGTCTCCCATGAAGCCATGCCCTGCCCTCCAGCCTCCCACCCTACTCCGGTCCTGGAGGACAAGAGCACAGAGGCAGCTCTCTCCACAGGGTCTGTCCCATACCAGTGTCTTGGAAAGTGTCCTCAGAAGGCCAGCGCCTTCCCCACACCTGTGAAGGCTGAGCCCACCTCCTCCTGCAGAATCCATCCTTCCCCCCCCGCCCCGCAAAAGAAAGCCAGCACGCACCTTCACAAGGTCTTGAAGGCAGCCCGGTGCAGGGCAGAGCCCAGCAAGGAACCAGAGCATCAGGTTTTACCCTCAGGGCGTTTTACCCTCGCATTTGACACAAGATAGTGCCACGGCATCCTCCTGCATGTCATCTCCTGAGAGGCTGCCTATGAAACCGATGCACTTAGAAAATGCCAGGGACGGATCTAGGCTGGAGCTAAGTGGGAGAAATTCCGAGCGGCTCCCAGAGCCCGCAGAGCAGCGCAGGGCTGAGCCCCACCGAGAGCTGGCCCCGGCCTCCCGCTCTCCCGTCCCTCCCCAGCCCCTCCGTGGACCAGGAGCCGCTTTCCCGGCTCCGTTCGCCGCCCTCCCGACAAGCGGCTCCCGCCCCGTCCCGCGCGGCTCCCCGGGGCCCGGCAGCCGCCGGTCCCACGACGGTTTCCGACGGCAGCACGGCCCCGGTGCTCCGGCTGCGGGTCTCGGCGGGGAGCCCGGCCGGGAGCAGTCCCCGGCAGCAGCCGTGGGCTGGGCCCGCCCCGCCTCGAGGGCCCTGGATGGCATCGCCCGGCGCCGTCTGGGGCCGGGACCAGGGTCGGCGGGGCGGGGCGGGGGGGCCGCGGGCCGTGCCGGCGGGGCGCGGGGATGCCCTGCCTCCGTGCCGAGTGGCGCGGGGGCCTCGCCTTCCCCTTCACCCGCCGCCCCCCGGCACTCCTCCCCCGCCCCAAGGAGGCCACAGCCCGCCCGGCGGCGCCGTGCCAGAGCTGCCCGCACCGCCCCGGGGCCGGGCGGGAGCGCAGCGCCGTGCCGGGGCCCCGGGCCGGCAGCCCCATGCACCCGCCCGGCGCCCCGCTCGCCATGGCCGAGGGCGCCTTCTCGCTGTCCGCGCAGGCGGCGCGGAGCCCCGGGGGAAACCCGTCGAGGCTGCACAGCATCGAGGCCATCCTGGGGTTCACCAAGGAGGACGGGATGCTGGGCCCCTTCC